CTGAGGACGGAGGCTGCATTCATATTCACGCAGTCAGGATGCAACAAGTTTAATGAAACCCCATCAACTATATTAATCCCAGAAACCCAAACTTTAGAAACACTCTGAACCCCCCAAACCCGCAGGCGGGATTGAAAGCGTGTTTTATTCAAACCATCGCCAAAACTACACCGTTTATCACAGCCAGAGGCTGTAAGAAACAGCTTTATCGTCAGGTTTTCATCTTTCCGAAGGTTCTCAAACACGTCATGTGTGAAGAACCTTTCAGTCAGAAAAAGCACCCAAAAAGAGACAATACTCAGACCTTTAAACCAAAAAATGACCACAATTAATAAGAACAAAAAGCACCTCGGCGGGTGCGACAAGCAACACTAGCCTCATAAATATCATGAAACATCAGCAAAGCAGACAACGCAAGCATGCAGCCACACACACATACAGCAAAACATAGTGACCTGTCTGAACGCCATTCTGTTCACAGAGAGCACCGCCAAGTCCTCCAGTCCCAGTAGAACCAGTCCACTCAGCCTCTCTGGTCCCAGTAGAACCAGTCCACTCAGCCTCTCTGGTCCCAGTAGAACCAGTCCGCCGTGGACTGTATTTAAGAAGTGGACGTAGTCATCGTGACGTCACCCATTGGTTTGTGGACTGATGTTATGAAGCCTTGAGTTTGGAGTTTTGGCCGTCGCCATTTTGGCTTTTTTGCAACCAGTGAACGGAAGTGACCATATTTGGACGGCGGAAACGTGACGTAGAGACGCCGTATACGTCTCTGGTAGCGACCTGTCAATCACTGTGTGGACAGCAGAGAGAATGCAGGTTTAAGACACTTCCTCATCGACTTCAGTCTACAAACCTTTATTAAATGGAATGTTATTCTACTGAATCTTAAAATAACTAACATTTAATAGTGGAAAATATTAAATGTAGAAAATAATAAAACATAACACGGAGCTGTGGCTCACTATATTAGCCAATACAATGAACTTTGACTGTGAGCAGAGAGGCTCTGGATGCACCAGTAGCAATGCCCTCATTAACTTTAATCAGCTGCATCAGGCCCATTCATACTGGCTCTCAAATATACAATATGGTTATTATAGTGCATGATAATACACTGCTTAACATATTGCATTTTAAACCAGAGCTGTAACGAACCGAACCTTAACCGAGATACTAGATTATTATTGTCTTGTTGTGAAAATATGCGCGCGTGTGAGGAGTGCCAGCTGGAGTTTAATTTCGTGCAACGTCAACTTTACGTCACGGCTATTTGTTGACGTCAGACTTTGAGAGGAGAGAACATTCACCTGGTTGTTGGTCCCGAAGTTCACTCTCATGGAGGTTCTTTTATATTTTCATCTTTCATGTCAAACAGTTCTTCTTCTTCTTCATCTTCTTCTTCTTCTTCTTCATCTTCTTCATCCTACTCGGTGAAGTTTAAACGTCAATGATTGATAACAGCTGAGACACGCGAGGGGAGGCGTGGCCCTTGCGTAAAGTACGGGGCATATACGCAACTTGCGTGAGCGTAAAGGGCCGCACTACAGACCATACCATGTTAAGGAGAGAGAGGGGGGTTCACCACGGACACAGGCTTTTACCAAAGCAACAATACATACGATTTTTATTTGTGTTGTTTTTTATAACAAATGGTGAATATTAAGGTTCAAAAATAACATTTGGTTATCAGTGCTTATATTTAGGAGGACGTCATTATTGGTGGACAACAAAAATGGACACACAATGTAAAGAATAGACAGGTCTGTTAAGTACACAAGTATTACAAAAATACAAGAATAGTAAAAAGCACCAATGGCCAACAATAAAATAAAAATTAAAAAATTAAAATAAATATACAAGGCTTTTTCAATTCCAAACCAGTTTAATTATACATATATATTCTTCCTTTTTTATTATTTATTTTCACTATAGGAATAGTGCAAGGAAATGAATACTGACTGGATGTACATAGGCAGTGTGCTATATGTGTGCATAGCGTGAATGGGCTTCATATGTCAAATACATGAATCATGTAAATGTATGGAAGAAAAATACTTGTGCACAGAAAGAAATTACAGTTACATGAAGAATATTAAATGTACTTCACCTTCCTGATGTTGCTGCAAGTAGCTAACAATCTTTCAACAACTTAAAAGTTCCTGTAAACTTAGGACAAACACTATTTTTCTGACTGCTTTCTTCAACAGGAAGCAGAATCAGCCTCAGCGGGCCAAACATCACTGGACTCTCTGAACAAATTGAACAAACGGCTGTTGATTGTGGAGCCAAGCTGTGATGCTGAAGGGAGTTTATCCAAACTCACGACTCTGCATGCAGCAGTTACTGAACAATAGCGGTTACTTATCCCGGCTCAACGTATAGATCTATTGGTTCCGGGGACCGCTTTAAGCTTCACAAGTCCCCTGCAGAGACTTGGAAAGACATGCAAGACCTTTCTGTGCACTTGTGGATAAAATCCATAAATGCTCCTTTTATTGTGACGTCTTGAACGGCAGCTGCACCTTCAGGAGTGAGAACTGAGGACTAAAAAGCTGCCAGCTCCTTCTGCTTTTGCCCAAAGCTATAACAGAGTGAAAGACAGCCTGTTCCCCAGCAGAACCCACTGATCAATAGCTCATATGCACTTCTGGCAGCGCCAGTTCAGATGCGTATCTGCCCGGGAAGAATGGGCACCACCTCCACCAGCGCACTTTAATCAGACTGAGTTATTGGGATCTGTGGCTCAGAGTGAACTAGTGTGGGACACACACACACACACACACACACAGATGCACAATGCGGCCAATCAATCACTTTAATTGATGGAGTGAATAACGGGAGGAATGGGCTCAGAAGTCTCCAGACGCGGATGCAGCAGTGGGGTGTGTTTGCGGGAGATGATGGGCACTGAATTGAATTGGCAAAGATCCATATATACTGTATATATATGTGTGTGTGTGTGTGTGCGTGTGTGTGTGTGTGTGTGACTACAGGCCTCTTCTCAGAGTCAGGGTCACTCTCTCTCCTCCAGCCGCCTGTGATCGTCCCCTTTTCTTTTCCGCCTCTTCAATCTGTTCCTGCCGTTAACTTGTAAGAAGGAACCCACACTGAAGGCCAGAGACGCAGGTCTGTGGTCCAGATGGTCGCTGGGTTGATGACAAATCCGTGCAGGTAAATAAGTAGGATAAACCATCTTTTCTTCTGCCACAGTCAAGGTGTCCTTGAAGGAGGTGCTTCTTCAAGAAAATAACACAGCGCCAGCGGGGCCCTTGTGCTGTTCATGTGAATTCTTACTTTGAATAAATGGCTTTTCAGTGTTTCTGTACACGGATAAAAACACTTTTATTCAACGTTTTTTGCTCCATGATTATACAAAATATACGTCAACTACATATAATATATCAATATAGACACTCAATACTTCTTTTATTATTAACTCTCTCAAATGTAATGTAATTAAACAAATATTTACACTATTCAACTTGAATTTAACACATTTTATTAATTTTACAGAAAAATTCTGTAAAGTTACAGACTTTCTTATTGTGTAGTGTTGAATTGAGTCCAAGCTACATTAAATAATAATAATAATAAATCAATATTTTACATGAATGGTCTGCTGGTTCAGTCCGCCCCTCAGAAGCACCACCAACAGTTGGATTTTACAGACAAAAAATGTATTTAAATCATCAGAATTGAAGAGAAATAATTGGTTTTCAGTCTTATTACTTTGCACCCCGCACTTCAAACATCATAAAGCCAGACGTCCATCCTTCTGAGGCAGAGGACCACAATGCAATGCGACGCCAGGATGCTGTCGAGCATCAACACTGGAGAAACTCGGCCCACAGCGGCCACTATGGACGTAAAATCCATAGCAGAGTCCCAAACCGCTCAACGGGGAAAGTCGCTCTCGTAAATGTGTGACTTTGGTAATTTAAGTAGAAGAAGAAAAGGCAGGAGAATTGAGTTGACAAAAGAAAACACTGTGGATATAAAATTGAAGCCGTTGCTCAACAAGAGGAAAGTTTTCACACGTATATTGTCGAGGCCCAAAGTCTGTCCCAGTTTCATCTGAGGACACAAAATCGATATCCACACCTCTACCTCCCTCTGTCAGGCTGTCACTTAGCCCCAGCAGGGTTCTGTGGAACGACGCAGCCCCCCGAAAAAGTGGTGATTTAAGAATCAGAGCTGTCATCTGCTCGACTTATCGATCCGTACAAATCTCTTCAGACCAGGAGCTGCTACACCGGCGATTGTCATCTAAAGATTCCGAGGGCAGAAAAGCCACATGAGAGTTTTATTAGTAGTTTATACGATGAAAGTTTGACCACAAACCCAAGACTTTCAGTTGAGGAGCAATGTAGAAATGACATACGACAGTCGCCATGTTGGTTTTTCGCAACCACGAGACACGAGAGGGAGGAGCTAAGCACAACCTAACACTGAATAAGACATTTCTAAGCAACCAAAATGTTACAATTATACTTTCATGAAGTGCAAACACACTGTGAAAGGGTTAAAGTTTACAAACAACCCCCAGACCAGACAACGCTGTGGTGGCAACCTGTCAATCACTGTGTAGCCCCGCCCTAAAGCATCCCCTGCTTTATGGTCCGTTTAACTTTTGGCGAGTTTAGAAAACAATCTGCAGACAAATAGACAAAGTAGTAAAATAAATATCTAAATGTCTGTTTTGGATTTTTTTTTCTCACTAGACTGAAAGAAGCAAATACGACCAAAATCCCAAAATCAATCAGTTGATGAAAAACAATGTTTTTGCCCGAGGTGTCTCCCTTTAAGATAAACAAGACGAGGTAATAATAATCACACGGATGCACTATAATAATCTACTGGAGAGTTTCTAGAGAAACTGATAAAAAATAAAATATTTTAAGTTGTGTTCAGAGAAGTGTCTTCGTCTGGAGGAACACAAAGAGGGACGTGGAAGATCACTGGCCTCTAGTGGCCGTCCAGCGTAACTACACGTCCTGCAAACAGGTTTAAAAGATGCTCCAATTAAATAAATACACATCAAGACAAACTGATTCATTCATAAACAATTAAAATCAATCATGTAACCCAAATGATGAACAACCATTTTATCAAAACACATGACAAAAAAAAAGAAACTTTATTTTAAGAGCGCGCATGACAGCCATTTAAAAATAGCACAGCATCATCCGGTGGTCTTTTATACAAATAATCAGCGTGGTGATATTAACATGATAAACACTGTACAACGTATGGACACACACACACACACACACACACGAGCAGAGCTGCTGACCTCGATGTGTGACGACATGTACAGATGTTGGGGCTGGTGCATAATTCATCAGTAAAACGTTTACTGAACCTTAAAACTTGTGTCAGTTACACACAGACGGGCTTACAAGTTACACATGAAGTAAGATCTTTTTCCCTTTGTATCCTCTTATAAAAATCAATGCCAAAAAATAACTGTGGTCAAATGTAACACCATTAAAAACAACTTGAACACAGTAAACTGGCATAACAAAAGCCCACAGAAGAACTCTTCATCACAGAACTGGAATTAAACATTTATTTCCACCGTTATATAAAAGACAGGAAAGACGCCGTGTATAAATATTAAACATATTAACAAAGTATATACAGGTTTGAGGGAGAGTTTTTAAATATTTCCTCTCGATTTAGACGGGCAAAGTTGTCTTTTTTTTGGGGAGGCGCCGTCTCACTGAGATAAAACTTCCTCCAACATGTCCCCGCTGACCAACGGCAGAGACGCCACCTCGAAAAACACCCTGAAAGATATGAAAGAACACATTAATGTGACACGTTGAAGGATATTAAGCTGCGTGTGTATTTATTCCACCTTGTTTTCTGAACTTACTTGTGAGAGTATTTGTTCCTGATGGCTTTCAGTTTGTCGTCCGGAGGAGCTGAAAGCATCTCGTGGAGATTTCTGACGACGGGCGCCACGTCTGCCGCCTGGTAGCCGGAGTGGTACTCCAGGATGGGACTCTGCAGCACATTTACACGGGAAGAAACTATTTAGCTTTTAAATTGAAAAAAGGAGGACGGTTGTTTCTCTTCATGCGGGACGGAACAGATGCACCTCAAACCGGTGGACAACAGAAGAGTCAGCAGCTATTCTCTGCTTGTAAAGCAAACAAATGGTCTTTTAGTCCGACAGTCACACGAGCCGAGACATCAAGTTACAGTTCTTCAAGTGCTTCAATGTAAACCGTGAGGCGCTCGAGTCAACGCTGGAGGGAAAGGTCTCAAGTCAGGCCTTTATTATAAGGAACGTTTCACACGTGCACTGCAGCCACAGACTGTAAGAAGACGTCACCCGCTGGTTTGTGGACTGACGTTTTGAAGCCTCGAGACCAGCGTTTTTGTCGTCGCCATCTTGGATTTTTGCAACCGGTTAACTGACGTTACCATAGTTAAACGGTGGAGGAGTGACGTACGCTAACGAGCGGACCGAACGTTGGCCGACGACATCTTAACCCTCTGAACCCCAAGCCGTTTCGGGGGCGTTTTTTGTGCAGTAAAACATAGTTACAATGCTATAATTCAGTAGAAATAAGTAGAATTTATTTGATAATTCCTTACATTGGAATCCATATATCAAACATGTGGCTCCATGTATACTATACATATTGAACTCTTTATATGTTGACAGTCAAAGTTTTCACTGAATTGTTGTCACATGACTGTTGGTCTCGGATGAATCAATCATGGCTTCATAGTTGCTCTGAGGAGCTCAGAATTTAATGTTTTTTACAGAATCTGTTTACTTCAAACGGTTCATTCAGGGCGAGATATTAAATGAGACACTTTAATAAAATGTTTCTGATGAAATATCACAATTTTAAGCCTTGTTTTGGTTGCTTCTTCTGAAGCGCTCATCATGCATGTTGAGTTCAAGGACCGTCGGAAAGATGAAAATCTGACGATAATGACAGTTTTTACAGCTTGTGGTTATGATCAACGGTGTAGTTTTGGCGATTGCTTGACAGAGCTGCAGTGTGTAAACAGTGGTGTTGAGTGAACCTACCCATCCCCCCAGGTCTCTGGTGACCAGCGCCAGCAGCAGGCAGGCGGACGCCAGCAGCGAGCCTCTCACCGACACCAGCTCCACCTCCATGAGGCTCATCTCACAGAAGAACCGAGCCAGAGTCAGCGTGTCCATCCCGGCACTCACACACTGCAGAGACACACACACACACAATCAGATGAGCCAAGGACGACCTCACAGAGAGTGTGTGAAGAACACACACACACCTTGGCATAGCGTCGGAGGAAGCGGTAGGGGATGGGGATGTTGATGTCGAAGGACAGCGTCTGCAGGATGTTGGCCTCCATGGAGATGATCTCCTCCCTCTTGTACGCGTCGTCGCAAATGTACAGGAAGTCGTCGACACACGGCGGACTGCGCTCCTGCGGGGACCGCCAAAATAAAGTCAGGGAGACCAATCGACTGTGAGAAAGTGTCTTCATCCATCTCGTATTGTGTCGTGTTCAGGATTTTGAAGGTCTGCTTACTCTAAGTTATCTGAAATGAGCTTGTAAACATCTTAATATTTGTGTTTCCTGTCTGTGATTTTCAAAATAAAACCCACTGGCCATGCTTGAGTTATAAAAGACTAACAAAAATACTCAAAATCCTCCAAAAAGACAGGATTAATCTACTTCTACGATTCATCGACTAACCAATCTCAAGATTGAATGTGTCATTGGTCATTTAAAAAGGACTTAATGTGCTCAAACTATTGTGTTGTATTGTGTTCTTTACCTCAAACTTGGAGGCGATGAGCATGGTGGTGGAGCCGAGGAGCTGCAGCAGCTCCCTGTGGACGGGCGTCTTGGCGAGGTAGTGGTCGGTCATCTTCACGGCCAGGTACAGGGTCTCATGGTACAGCTCAAAGTTCTCCTGAAACACATCAACAGAGTCAACAAGCGGCACCAAACACCAAAGAGCGACTAAGCAGCAACAACTACGTTCTGTCAAAAGTACAAATGGATGACCTCGCCCACTTCACACCCTTGAAACATAATCTCTATTTTGAGTTCCCAGCAGGCCACCAGGTGGACTCACCTGCACCTCCACCAGCCAGTCGATCAGGATGGCCCTCATCTCTGGGTTGAGGCTGGGCTGCTGGGGCATGTAGTTACAGAGGACAAACTTCTCCTGAGGACGACGACAACAGAGGAGAAGTGAGAAGAAAATACAGAAGATAAAACACACACACACACACCAGTGTTTAGTTTGTCTCACCTCTCTCTGTTTGAGGTAGTCAAAGATGTCCTTTGCGTACTCTGGACACATGTAACAGTCCTCAGCGTTCTCCGAGTCGACGTCGAACTCCGCTGGGATCTACAAGCACGGAGAGAATACGAGTAAATATATAAATAAAAGGCAACAACTCTCCCAGAACACAAGCTTCTTTGATTCCTCCTCACTTGTTGTTTCTGATGGTGTGCCGGCACTTCACAGACAGCAAGGGGCGCAGCAGCCACCAGCTCTTCTACTGGAGCTGCTGCTGCCTCCTCTTCCTTCTCCTCTTCCTCAGCGGGCGTCCCCTCAGAGCTCTCTGACGAAGACCTGCAGAGAGTGAGAGAGAGAGAGAGAGACAGACAGAGGTTGAAATTTAAAAACAACAGCCACCTCTGAAGGAGATGAAGATAAAGATCTGAAGCTCGGCTGCGTTACTTTTTCAGGTTGTCGTGGTTCTTGGTGGACACAGAGGGAGCGCTCGTTTTCTTCACCTGCTTCTTCGCCGCCTCCTTCTTCTTCCTCCCCGGGAGGCTGATCTGAACCTTATGAGCCTGTGGAGGGAACAGTCGGAGTGAGATTTGAGTCACAATAATAAACGCTTAGTGGTTTACAGCGAGAGGGAAAGATGCCGGTGTCTAAAAGCTCCGGTGCCAAATATGTTGATTTTGGGAACGACGCGGTAACGAGGAGGCAAACAAACACGGTGCTCGTATCACAAGTAGGTGAGACGACAGAGAGCATCAATTCACACCTCAGTGGAGAACCAGAGCACAGGGATGAAGTGTGTCCCCCACACACACACACACACACACACGTCTAAGTGGATGATGTAAATACACGATGAGCACGGACACATTTGACACCAGGGCGACAAACGCTCCCTTTAACCCGTGCTGCAGACATCCACAGGGCTCCACAGTAAGGGTTGCCAGGTGGCCATCGGCAACAACAATCCAAGACTTTTACAAAGAGTTTGAAACTAAATCTGAAAAGTGAGAGATCGAGCAACCAGCGACTTGCTGGATTCATTCTAAAGGGATCTGTGAAGAACAGGACCGCTGCTCCAGAGATAGTTTGTATATCAGGAAGGTGGACACGATGACCGAGAACACTCAGGATTTAAATTCTGTAGAGCTCCAGATAAAACACAAAATAATCTGGTTTGGTATCTGTGATACAGCGTGTATTCTAAGTGGACCTTATAACTGCATAGTAGCTCAATAACTCTAAATATAAAAAGGTGATTTTGAGTCACGTGAGCATTTGCTAAACCAGATGAGCATTAAAGGAGTGTTTGCATGAAGCAGACGTTATTATATCTACGCAGTGTGGACGTTATCGAACATTCCCACTTGTTTTAGATGTGCAGCTGGATTCAAGAGAATGAATAAGACGTATTGTTAGTGCCCCGATCCTTCAATCAAACCTCTTCCTCCTACAGGTTACTGATCTTGAATCTGGATGCTGAACTTACATTAGTGATGTCGATGAAGGCGGTCCTCTTCTTCGGGGCTCCGTGTGGAGGAGAGGAGGACCGCTTCACCTGGGGGCCTTCCTCCTGCAACACACAACCAGGAAGCTCAACACACACACACACACACACACACACACACACGGCATTAAATCACAGATCACGTGCATGCAAATTGCAACAAAAGAAAGAAAGTTGCATGCTTTTATAGCAAGTTAATCCATGCAACTTCAAGGACCAGATTGCTGCAACGTCTGCTTTGTTTACAGCCTCTCCTCCTATCATCTCATACTTTGTCAAGTAAGACATGCAACACAGAGGTTCATAAATCAACACACAAAGCAGATAACACCTATGTTAAATAGAAACATGGACTAAAGACAAGAGAATGCTGCATTATTAGACACTAAAAAAACATCCAATATCAGAGGAACAACACATAAGAGCATGCAGAGTATGTGAAATATATAAAATCAGTCAAAACAACAATAAAAGACATGCATGCAGGTACAGACAGACATGTGACAACAGACAGATCCTCTGCATGAAAGCTGGATATTTAAACGAACATGGGTGCGCATATATATATATATATATATTATTTTTACCTGGTTCTCACTGAGTTTGGGCATCTTGCTCCCGGCAGTCACTGCGGGTTTCTTCCCCCTCAGTAGAGGCATGACTGGCTCCTTTATTCACCGACACACACACACACAATAACCCTGCAGCGGCTGCACTTTGATCTGCTAAATACATATGAAAATTTAAAAAAATGGCGGGTCGGTGTTAAAAAACTAAATAGGGTGCAGTGTCGCTGTGGTGTTAAACGGGTTTAAACTGTTTTAAATAGCTGTAAATAAGAAGAGTAACGTTAGTTAAACACAACATTTTGCATCTTTGTGTGTTTTCTGCACAACAACTGGCTCTGCATGGACAATATCAGGTTGAAATTAAAGTTTTTCTTACCGTGTTTTATAATTCCTGCTTGTTTGTTTCAGTTCCGGAAGGAAAAACACAGAATAAAGCTCGTTTAAATGTTGTAAATAGTCCAAATCCGCCGTGTTTGTGTTGCTTCGTTGACTAAAAGAGCTCAAACAAAAAGGAACTTGAGCTGCGGATCCAAATCTGCTGCGCCGCGTTCCCATTGGCTGGAATTTGAGCCGGGCGGACCAATCAGGAAGTCGCTTGGGATGCCGTTGCCAGGATGGAAGCGTTGGTTTTACTGTAACGGCTCCGCGCGGTGCATGTCTTGAATTAAAAGCAGTTTAATAGCGCATTTTTTAAAACAATAGCTGATTATACACGGTACATTTAAGTTATGTTTATATTTTGTTTTGTTTTGTGATTGTAAAAGTTGAGTAGTATCCATTAAAAATGTAGTTTTCACATAACCCCGCCCACCTACAGCGCTTCCTTGTACATAATCCAACGAACCTTGGAAGGAGGTAGCGTGTAGGATTTTCAAACATCCTGACAACAAATGACAGTTCAAATGGGAGGTAGTTTATTGATGTTTTCCTCATGAACATGAACTGATGGTTATTATTTCAGGACAGACATATATTAGACATCATCACACACATTTTTCCACTTTTATTGTAATATCTATGCATTTTTAATGGTGCATTTGAGTCAAATACAAAATAGTAAAGTAATAATTATAGACACACACAATTTCCATGAAGTAATTCAAATTAAATCATAAAAGGGCTGAAGCCAATGTTCATAATCTGCAAAGTCATTGTAATTAAGGTATCCAGATGCAAGGTTTTATGTGTTCTTGAACAGAAAATGTGGCGTTTTACAGCTTAAATTACATGATATTGATCAATCATGACATCTGCACATTCCATCTCTTGATGAAGACCATGGCAGCTCCAAAAAGCTCCAGTTGTTTTATGCTTGTGAAACGCAGGTCTGTCATGCAATGATTTCCCTTTAGGCAGTCACACACCGACCGAAACGACCCTTAAAATCTATTTAAATTATGATGTTGAAGAACGAGCTCACTGACACAGAGATAAGTATTTCCTGAAAGAGCCCACTGGGGAGCGCACAACACAGAGTTACTGCAGCAACAGTTTGGATAATAGAGGGTCATTGCATCACATTTGAGGACGGACACGGGGGGGTGCTGGCAGCTATAACATCCATTCTTGTCTGAATCATCATCTAATGTTCCCTTTAAAAAAATGCACGTCACATCTCATTAAAGTCCAAAACTCTGAATTCGGGGTTGTTGTGGACGAAGTGCATCATCAAAATGACACAGGCCTGTTGTGCATCAAACTTGAAAAAAAACATAAAAAGTGCCATATTTAAAATTCTCTTTGGCTGAGGTAGTGGTCTGAATCTGTGTCGCTTCACCTCCGCTCGTGACCATCTCTTCATCATGTTGACCTCATGAACAGAAGAAAAGAATAAAACAAGGCAGAATAACTTTCTGCAAACGTCGTTTTATGTTGTCAGTGCAAATAAACACTCGCACACCAACACCATCTCTCTCACACGAACAGGAAGTGGGTAAAGTCGTCTGTCAAACCTGTTTCCGTGTCAACTCATTTGCACCGGAGAGACCAAACAGTGAGCCACCGTTAATAACTGGTAAGTTTGATGTTTCCTGTGTCTTATTTCCATATATTTTGTGGTACAGTTACGTAACTTTTGGCTTTAATCTTGTCCAGTTGGCCCTTGAGATGCAATTCTGCCTTCTGCCAGGTATAGTAAATCACAGAGTACTTCATGATCCTAAATGTGCAAGTTTATTTGCCTCTTTGTTTCGTCAGGAATTCTTGAAATATTGTCCTTTTTATCTACTTTTGTAGGCATTAAATCTTTGGTCTTATCTGTGCAGTTGTTCTCGTGCTGACAAAGATTAACTTGAAATGTCGAAAACAAAAGATGACAGTGTGATGACGTTTTTGGTAATTCATGAGGAAAGGTTTACTATAAAACTTGTAGAGGGCTCAAGTAGAAACACTGAAATAAGTGTGGAAGAAAAAGCACATTTGGCAAGGCGCTGGTTATTGGATGTTGCAGGAGGTTAAGCTCCGTCATAATCAGCAGACTGCACGGTTTTACAAGAAAACGCATGAATAAAGTAGCATGCTCATGTTTTGAACATCAGGATGTCCAGATCAGACTGCCAAGAGAAAACATTCTTTGTTTAATCGGTAATTTGTTCCACATCTGCGCTTCAGTCTCGTCCTCCCCTTGAAGGCCGGATAATATTATGACGTGTGTCACTGTTAGTATGAAGTTTAAAGAAACTCAAACTGCATTTGGTCAAAAATGCTTTGAACCTGATTTGGGTGACATTTTTGTTTTATGTACATATTTTATACATCAAATTATTCTTGGATATGTTCAAATCAAACTGTAGTGACCATTGCTTCCCAATTAAAAAGTCACTACGGTTGCTGTAATGCTTGTTCTGAAGCGTGCCATAAATAACAAAGTCCAGTTTCGAATATAGGCATTTTATTTCTCTCATAATCAGAGTTCACCACTTTCTCTTCAGTTATCCATTTTCTCCTCATACCAATAAATCATAACATTTGCATTCGTTAAATCTTCACGGTCAAAACCTGTTTGCTTCTACCTATTAGCAACAACCTGTGTCCAATGACCCCACTGATTATATGACCTGTGGCCTGATTCACACCGGCACTACGCCCCCATGTGGTGGGAGGTTGTACAAAAACAAAACAACAAAATGGCTCTTACACAAACCATCATTTTAGCTAGCGTTAGCCGTTGCCCATTCTTTGTGCTAAGCTAAGCGGCAGTTGTTGGCAGAAGCTTAATATCGACCGTGGTATCGATCTTCTCATCAAACTCTCACCAAGAAAGCAAATAAGAGAATTTCCGCTATTTCCACTACAAGTTCAACTATTCCAAAACTATTAAACTATTAGAGAACAAATAGTTATTTGTACATACATTATCAACTCAATTAGTTTCTATGTTACTTCATATTTATAGCTGTTTGCACTAACACACTTTTAAACCAGAAGTTGCTTCTAAGCCAGTCCCACGCTTCCCTTCTTCATCGTGTTGAAATGGACACAGATGCCGTCACAGATAAACAACATAACCCATTTCATGTAACATTTGCTTTGCTCTATTTCTGTTTTTCTAAACTCGAAAGAGACAATCATCAAACACAGCTCTATCTCCATTAACTACAGATGCAAACAGAGTTTAGAGAAAATGTCAGGTGGACGCCAAGTAATTCCTGCTTGTCACATTCTGGCTGCAGCGGTACAGTTCATATGGTGACAGGCTGGGGTTGAGGCCTCCATCTTACTCTCCATCTGAGGCTTCAAAAGGGAACTTTCTGTTCTGATAGCGACATGTTTTTTTCTCTTCACATCCGTCCTGATTACTTTCTCTTTTGCCATTTCTTATACATACATTTTAACATTCCCTCAGTTTGATTTCTTCTCTAATCTGAAACAGGCGAGGACTGGAGGGATATTTGAGACTAAAACAATATTTATGTAAAATGTCATCTCTTTGATCAAGACTTTTGCTCAGTCAGTCAACTAAATATAATCCCTAAAATCAGATCATGTTTGTCTTCTTCCGATTATATAAGGTACCCTGTACATGCTTTATTGTTTCTCATCTGGATTACTGTAATGCACTTAACATTGGCATGCAGCCGCACAAATTATATCGTACAAGCCAACGTAAACTGGCTGCCAGTTATGTTCCGTATTGATTTTAACATTTGACCGATCACTTTTAAAGTGTTAAATGGCCTCGCTCCAAAACATATCAAGGCTTTATTGACCCCTTACGTGCCTCAGTGTTCCCTTAGATCGGCCTTTGCAATTAGAGCCTCCCGACTGCCTATTGAATTCAGACACGCCACATCATTAGCATCATTTATGAGCCCACTGTTGTCTGTTTTGTATTCTTTTGTTCTTGTTTTTTTCTGGAAAGCACTTAACTGTAAACCAAAGTGCTATTATTTATATAGGCAAGGGAAACGCTGCATCAATTAGGGAGACTATTTACATCCAGGCTGGCTTTGACTGAACAAGCTGGCAAGCAATACCCTAATAAAAGTATAATAAAAATAATGAACTAATTATAGGGACGAGGCAGCGGTTCAAACCATCATTGGAGTCTTGTTTGTGCTTGTGGCTTATCCTGGCCTTCACTATATTCTTCTCCCAAAAAGAAAAGAGCCTCCAGGAAAGGCAATATTTCCTTTGCTTTTATTAAGATTATTGCTTTTGTCCTCACAGGATCCGATGCCGGCAGTGAGTGCTGATCAAAAGGTGGAGGAGCCGTCTCCTGAAGGTCTCAGGAGAAGCCACCTAAACATTGGGGTTCTTGAGGAGTTTGCCCAAAATATGTCCGAGAACATAATCCAGTCATTTAAAAGCCAAATGGAGACGCTGGAACCTGAGGTGGACCGCCGGGCGTCCAGCTTTAATCAGAACCAGGAGATGTTAGCCGAAGAGTTAGCCTCAGCAGTCATTGAGGTCGCTCTGAGGGAAGTGTTTTGCAGTCAAAACGTAGCGGATCATCTGGAGGGCTCCCAGAGTTCAGCTGGGGTAAAGATGGATGGCGGACGGGCTAAAAATCTGCCCTTTATGGACGAATTTTACAGCGGAAGATCCATAGAGATGAATCCAGGCAAAGAAATCCAGACCTCCAAAGACACCCAGCACTGTCACCCATCTCTGTCCCAGCCGGGGCTCCCTATCTTGGGATCCCTCGACTACCCCGATGCCCCTCCGACCACGCCTCTCCTCCCTGAGCTCGAGAGGAGCCGACACAGTTTCGCCAGGAAGCTAAAAGGAGGCCTGGCGAATGTTTACCTGCCGTCAACTCCTCCGCCGACCCCAAAGGACGAAGAGGACAAAGAGGACGGGGCCGCCGGCGACCCCCAGTTGGAGTTAATGGAGCACCTGATGCGCTCGCTGTCCACGGATGATTTGGCAAGGGACTATTTAGAAGTAGGATCTCGCTGTGGAGCCAAGATGGAGGCTTTTGCTGAGGCTCTTTCATGCCACATCATTGATTTGGCCTTAAGTGACAATTACAGACAGCAGATAGCCGACGATAAAGCTCTTCATCTACTGGCCCACCAACTGGCTGAAACCATCATCACCTCCTCCCTCGATGAAGCTAAAACGCTAGTCTAGTATCTTATTGTGTTTAATGGGATCATATTTGTGATGACTGGCAAGAAAAATAATAATAAACCAACACGTCACCTCCAGTCGGCCTGACATTCTCATTAAAATGTGGTTTTCTGTAATATTCTGTTACAATGGCTGCTTTCTTTTTACATTTAACTTCTCAATAAAGTTTTGGTTAAAGCTCATCCAGATGAAGAAGAGTTTCATCGTGAATTATTACTTTTTTATTGCAAAAACTGACCAGAGATCCAACAACAAAAAAAAAACGTGGCACTTTTAATGAGACGTTTATTGTGGAAACTGGATATTTTAGAAGCTGGATGAGGAACCTGAGGTAATGGTTTTATTCCAAGATGGACAAAAAGTACTGTGGCAGTAAAACTGTAATGGTTTTAGATCCAACTGAAATAACTGAATGTCCTGGAGATGGTATTTCAGGAGGAGTATCTTGAGCGTCACGTTGACCTGAGTAATTACATTTGGGTAAAAAAAAGCTATTTTGCTTTGAACATGCCAGTTAGTTGACGCTTTGTTTATATATGTGGAATGTAGATAACTTTGTCTTGATTTTGCTTTATTAATTGATCCCATATGTTTTCAATACCGAGAATAAATACTGTATTTTTTAACATTTATTGCACTTGTCTTTTCCATCATGAACCGACATCGAACACCCGTCACATTTTGTTTTTAGTTTCACTGAGATAACTTTTATAAACACAAATCTGACAAGGGATGAAATTGCATGTTAGATGTTTGAGTATTTTGAATACGACCACAAGTAAGAGGAGCCCTGCAGCGCTTCTTAATCGAGCGCGATGCTGGGAAGTGACTTTATAGATTCAGTGATTCATTCATCCCCTGGACTGAGCTGAATAGTGGCAAGTCTGGCTCGAAAGAAACTCATTCTCATACTCACCTATTGAGTTCAGATCAAGGAGAAGAGGCAGCCGTGGTGCTTAACCACAACAGTGATGTGATCCTGCAGAAGAAGAAAGAAAACTTTTCTTCTTCTATTAAATAAAGTCTGCCGCTGACACAACAGTCAGTAAATGCCAAATTCAATAAAAGAGAAACTTAAGTGAACCTTGAACAAGAGTTTTATTGTTCTTAGTCATCCGTTATTGCGCACTTAAACTCAAAAACACTTCTTTAGATTGAAGAGAATGGGTTTACAGTCTAATGTTTGCATGTGTGCGTTACATGCAAACATAAAAGCAACAGAGTGACGCATGGATGACAGATTTTTGCAGGCCAACATCTGGAAGTTAGCATCGCACCAGTTCCCTCGACAAAAAGCCAATTGAATTTTTCCATTATCTTTTGGATTGTTGCACATAAGCTCTGTGGCAAACAAATCTTCACAAATGAACATCCCTTTTATGATTCAGCGTGAATGAACACCGGATGTAAAAAGCTAACGTTAGGCAACAAACAAACTGTACCACGGTTAAATGAGTAAACACGACAAGGCTGTGAAGGGGGTCTAGTTGGCGGGGTGAAGTTCAGTCGTCTCATTTAGCCACTTGTTTGCAACCTCACAAGAGAGGAAGAACAAAACTTAAACAAAACCTAAAAATCTCTTAAGCTTGTTTTAACCAAAGACTTTATTTTAGGCATCTTACCAAAAAACTATCGACTTCTAGACGAGGGAACCAGAAGTGCAAAACTACCGACTCATTCCTTGGTTTTTGGAGTCATTCCTGCAGCACTTTATATATTTATCTATTTTTTTCATCTTTTGTTGCGACAATTGCAAGATAACAGAAATAGGGCGTTCACGTTACAAAGTGCGTTGCTGCACCACTGGACTGGTCTCATTTAAATTAAATCTCATGCAAAGTTGGTCTGAACCCGGCCCGGGATCACGAACACGCTGATGCTAGCATTAGCAACATTAGCGTGGCTTGTTAATCTTGTTAACATTTATTGTTAGTCTTTGCAGGTAAAAATAGCCGTGTTAAAAAAGTTTACAAATGTCTAAATCTAAAGCATTCCGACTGCTGTTTGAGACTTAAATGCCAAAAAACTTCACCGTTAATTTGAACCACATTTGCAGACGATCAGAGCCCAACACACACACGTTGACCGGTCGGCAGTGTGTGTGTGTGAGAGTCCCTTGGCTCCGATACATAATATGTCATGGAATGCTTAGTCTGAACTTTTAACTCCCACTGCTGATCACCATTATATTTTCTCACCACGGGACACTAACCGACTTCACACACACAAGCTGCAGGGCTGGGTGGACAGCTGTGGCGTCCGAGGACACACACACACACACACACACACACACACACACACACACACGCACGCACACACACACACACACACGCATCTGGAGAAATGCTTGTTGTGTTGTCAGGTGGTTGGTTGCCAGAGGGAGACTGAGGGAGGAGGCGTGATGACACACAGAGGATGTATAGTAGGGGGGTTTCTAAATACTATAATGGGAAATTCATAGCAGAGATACTTCATCTCTTTGTCTGCTCTAGCAGAGAGTAAGCCCACCTAAATTAAACGTATTCACCCTTTACGTGAGCCAAACAGTGCTTGTCCACCAGATGTAAAGAGTATATCTACACTAACACCATACATCACCATGATAAGTATTTATCACGGAGCTGGGGAGGACTTAAAGGGTAACTTAGGTATTGTTCAACCTAGAAACTATGTTTTTGTGTCAAAGTGACTAATGGGGACAGCAATTTTTGAAATTGGTCCAGTATTGAAGGAGACGGCAGCCAATAAACTGGCTGTAATGTGATCGTATCGGGCAACTCCTCTCCGTCGATGTACGGCCACTAAAACAGCTTGTTTTCACCACTGAAGGGCTCGGATTGTTATTCTAGGTTTCACTCAAATATGCTGCATTAATTCCATCTGGAGGCGCCCTTTACTTTGACATTTTCCAGGTTTCACTTTATTCCTCTGACATATGAGGTCGCCAGGTTATTTGTTAAAAAAGCTGTTGTGTTGAACAAGATCCTCAAATATGAAATATTAAGTTACAACTACCCTTAAGAAACAACGACAAAGTTAACAAAAAGTTCACAGTTTGAACCTTTAAAACACTCACTGTATGCTATACATTGTGATATTTAAAGCAGTTTTAATTGCTCTTTTGTTTCGTGCAACTAACCTAACAAAGCTGTTAAAGTGAATTTGTTAGCAAACAGTTGGCAAGTTACATATCCAAAAGACACATAACAACATTAGCACGAACTTAAAGTGCCGTTTCTGGTCACTTGATGAATATAACTCTAATTTTAACTCTTCTTGTATCTCTGTTTTTGGTCTCCACCAACTCCAAAGCGAAACATCTGGCTACTTAGCCGTTAAATGCTCTACTATGTTCACCAGCTAGTTGGTTACTTTGTCTGTCTGCTGTTTGGTGCTCGGCAGGGAGTAAAGTTGTGGGCCAAAAACAGTGCTGATCTCTGGGAAGTGAGATTCAAAAACACAGGTACAATTACTGCTCGTTGCCATAACGGCCGCCAAATCTTGGAGATAGTAACTTTGTAGAAACTTGCCTGTGGCTACAGGGCTGCGGGCTCCAGTGCTTTGACGGTTTGGCAAAGCGACGCCCTTCTTTCAAATTGCATTGACGTGCCCTTGAGCAATGTGTTTAAAACAGATGTTCTATTGCAGCGTCCAGTTTTGAATGGAGTCATTGCCCAGAAAACAATCGTGTGCGGTGGCCTCAAGTTTCCTACAAAATATTACAGCCAGAGAAACTGACAAACAAAAATCTGGAAACGCTATAAGACATGTGTCTGATACTTATTTGGCTACAAGAGCAGCATTTTAAGGCTGCTGAGTGCACCTATGGGTCTATTCTATGAGGGAACACTACTACAAACATCCTGTCGGTAAAACAAATGTTCACCACATGTCCCTGAAAGCCTCCTTGTGGTGGCACTAGAGATAAGGTCAGGGGATCACCAAAGTCTGTGGGATTCGTCCTCTGGGTACCATGAATGGTTGTACCAAATTTGATGACAGTTGGTGAGATATTAAAGTCTGGACCAAAGTGTTGGAGCGACAGACAGACGTGCCGCTGGCACTGCTTGAAAGCAAAATGACGTCTGGTTACCAGAGTATGAAATTTCACAGAATATAATATATATTTTCACAATTAGAGGTGAAAACTTGTCGCTGACAAGACAGTTTCTTCTCTGACAGAAAAAACCTAATTCTACAGCAAGTCAGCCACAGTTTTAAGAAAGAATAACTTTCATGTTTGCAAATCTCACTGGGATAATTGTACATGAATGCCTCTGGCTAGAGGCGCCCGTGCAGGTGTTAAGTGTCATCCTGTTGCAATCGTTGCTAGAGATTTGGCAGTTTATGACCTTGAGGTGTTGAAATATCCCCCAGAGAAAGACCTTGTACAGATGCAGCCGAATCTGTCAACTTCAAACCCAAAATGATGTCAAATCCATCATAACAACCGTACACGGAAAGTATTTGGATCTCTTTTCATCTGCTGTGGATTGATTTAGCCATCTGGTTTTTTTAAATATTTATTTCAGTTCAAATTGTATTCAGTCTCACCTGCAGACCACTGCGTTGTACTGGGCATGTCAAGTCCCAGTCAGGTGGAACAGATGGATTCAACATCTGGTGCAGGCCCCAAGTGGATTCCACTTGACTCAAGACCATTGTTCTGGACCACACCGGCTTTCATGGATCATAAAGCGCTTGAGAATCTCAGAGCATGTGAGCTGGCGTTCAGAAAAAGCTCTAGGGTCAAAAATGTGTCACGTATTCTAAAAAGCTTGGTGTTGAACTAGACTTGATTTTCTTAAAAGTCTCGCTCTAGACTTGCTTTCAACCCCCTTTTGAATCTAAGCAAAAGTCTGAGCAGTAGAAAAAGTCTGACGGCCTGTAGCTGTCTGAATGGAAGCGAACCAAGCTCATCTGCCTCCCATCCTCGATCAACATCTCTGACCGCTGGGCACACAGACCGCTTTACAGCTGTTTGTGGTGATGTAAAGGCAACAAAAGAAAGGCTGTTGTTTAGACCAGTGGTTCCCAAAGTGGGTGCCTTGAAGAAGGGCCGAGGGTGCTACAAGATTTATCACATAATCCTTTAGTCGTTGCGTGTCTTTAAAAACAACAAAAAACAACAAAACTAAAGTCGGACTACTTGACTAGCGGCTTAACGTTCTAGTTTTTGGCTGCTTGTGGAAGACTGATATCCATCAGAATCAGAATCAGTTCATGTGAAACCAAAATTTGAAAGAAATACATTTAATATATTTACATACTTATTTGTAGCTATTGATCAGTTAAATATTCATCCGTAAATCAGCATCTGTAAGACGTTCTGCGTGTTCTCAACGTGTCCGTTTCCTCCAAAACAGTCCAAAGACATGCATGTTAGGTTATGTGTTGACTCGTAATGACCCGTAATGTGAGCGTGAAGGGTTGCCTGTCTGCGTCAGCCCTGTGATGTCATATCCAGCTTGTGGTGCAATGACAAAGAAAGAAAAAAAGACCTTCCTTTGAAGGGGTGCCATGGTCGAAATAAAGTTGGGGAACTACTGGTTTAGAGCTGAACTGTAAACACAGTGTGGGGAAAATGATTCTGATTGACTGCTCCGTTTGGTGGAGATTTAAGAAAGGAAGGAGGCTTTTCGGGACGCACAGCAATACGCTGTCTGCACCTATAAAATCCATGTAGTTATCTCTCCATGAGGTCTTATCTCATCCCACAACAAAGTCAGCGGCCTGTGTGGAGCTCCGGCACTTTCACGCCGTAAAATAAACCACAAGCACCGGAGAGAGCAGCTCGGAGAACAGAGAGAGAGAGAGAGAGAGGAGAAGAGTGAGAGAGAGAGGAGAAGAGAGAGAGAGAGAGAGGAGAAGGGAGAGAGAGAGAGAGGAGAAGAGTGAGAGAGAGAGAGAGAGAGAGAGAGAGAGGAGAAGAGAAGCGAGAGAACTGGAAATCTAGAAATCCAAAGAGGAAAACATAAACCATGAAGACCAAAAGAAAAGCGAGTATGTGGTCACTGCACGACAGGTGAGTTTGAGACACATTCAACTCTGAATTGTCTGTTTGTTGAAATGTAATTATAATAATGTATACTAGTATTTAACAATCATAATGTTATGTTAATGATAATTGTGTACTTCATTTTTTTTTTGTTGATGTTTTGGCAACATCATCAACGGCACATTAAATTGAATTAAATTGCACTTTGCTATATTTTCTTCTTTATTAAAAATATCAAATGGCAACAAAAAGCTGTTTCATTGATTCATCTGAATATTATTCGACCTATTAATGTATATAAAGTGTGAGAAAACTGTGAAAATGCACAAATGAAATACTCTCATTTAAGAAGATAAAATGAGTATTTTTATTGTCCTTTTTTTGCTTAAATTTCCAGAAGTGTTGCAAATTCATTTTGTGTCACCTTTTTTTTATTCCACTCTTGACCTGAAGTCCTGAGGTGACTCGAGTCAAACGAAGAGAGAGAGAGCGCCCTCTGCCAGCTCACCCTGAAACTGAGGCTCAGGGCAAGAGTCAGTCCAAACTGTTTAAAGAGAAGAACAGACATCACATATATGATGACCAATTTAACCTTTAACAAAGTCCTCAGGAGAGGTTTCTACTTTGCAATTACATATTCTGAAGGAAGACAAAGACATCTCTATTCACCAACAAAATAAATATATATAACTTGAGAGATATTAACTGTCTTTTTTAGTCACTTTCCAATGGGACAAATAATGAACAAAACATATTAATGTCCCTTTAAATGATCTATCTGCTGTTGCTTTATCAATGTTCTGATTTGGCAACGTGTGGCATTAGTGCCCCACGAGAGAGCACTGTTGAAACTGAAAGTGTGTGGGGGGGAGGGAGGGAGAAAGGGAGAGAGAGAGAGAGAGAGAGAGAGAGAGAGAGAGAGAGAGAGAGAGAGAGAGAGAGCTCCAGGGCGATGAAGAGGTTAAGCCAGCCCCCTCTTGCTGCTCTCTCCCGCCGGTTGCAGCCCATCAGTCCACCGCTGCCTCCCTCAGCAGCTTTACGCAGAGGTTCAACCTCCGCTTTACGCAGCAGCTGAGGACAGATCCGAACTTTTTAAACTTCCAGGTCGTGCGTCTCCTCTCCGGCCCGCTCGCGCCTCCTCTCCTCGCTCCTCACGAGAAGCCCCATCGTCGGCAGCAGCGGACGCATGGAGATCTAACTGTGCTCCACATTTTTTTTTTGTCGCTCGTTTTTGGCTCCTCCGTCGGATCTTTTTTTTTTGTTGTTGTGGTCTGCTCATGCGTCCGGGAATGCCATGGCCACTCCGAGCGCACAGCAGCAGGATTATTTCAGATCGGTGAGCAGCGAGTCCACCACCTACATGATGGTCCCGGCCGGCGGGCCGGGCGGGCCGATCGGGACGAGGCGCCGGGAGGCGCCGTCCAAGATGTGGGTGGCGATGGTGGTGATCGTGGTGGTGGTGCTGCAGATCGCCTCCACCACGGGGCTCTTCCTCTACCTGAACATGTCCATATCGCAGGTAAGAGCTGTCTGTTAAAGAGGGCTGTAACCCTGCAGAGAATGCGCTCTTTTGCGCACTGATTTAGTGAGAAATACATGCTTTGCGTGAGGGACGTTTTCATGTGTGGAAACTTCGTCCCCGCGCTCTCACGCGGACAACAGCTCAGCGTGACTGAATTTGTGAAACAATGCAATCCGGAGTTTACGAGCACAAAAGACGAGAGGGAATGAGCCGGCAGCGTTTATCCAACTAAACGGGTCTAAACCGCGTGCTTAAGTGAACATATTGGAGCCATTTGGGTAGAAAGTAGTGCTGGTTGACTTTAAGTAGGTTGCAGATGTTGTGTGCAGAGGTGAACTATGCAGGTCAGTGATGGAGGTGGGATAACACCCTCCTGGGGTTTTATTCAAGCCTTTTTTATCCACTTTCTAAATATATTTCTACAACCTCCAGAGCAACAAGTCCTCTGCTGCAACATTTGCACAGCTGAGGTTTGATTGCTGCACTCTATAAATCAGAGCTGCTATCGCCGCGGGAGAATTTCTGTGGCACTGCAGATGTGCACGTGAGTGTTGTCCCGTTAGGGAGGAAAACACGAAATTAAATCAGCAGCTTCCACAGCTTTGGTTCAGTGCAGCGAGGCAGAAGTCCACTGTAACGTCACTGTGCTCATCCTCATCCTCTGTTATGGATTTAAGGAACAGTTACTGTGATTTAAAGGCACACACACACACAGACAGTTGAACGATTAGGTTGAGGTCAACAGCAAGAGGTGCTGCATATGGTTCCCGATGCTTCGCTGGAAGTGCACATGTTGGATCTTTTTGACAAATCGACGGTGGATGGAGCTTGAAAGCCACGCTCGGGTCCCAGCGAGAGGCCAGTTTAATAAAGTGTAACGCTACTCCTCCTGCTCAGGGAGAGGGAGCCGGTTGTGCCTCTTCTCCACATGAGTGCATCAAAATCTGAGCATCTCTTCAACAGTCTTGTCACGGATCGTGTGGCGGCTGGAAAAGGCGAACGTTTTTCCCATTTAAGGATAAGGAAGACACATGATACTCGAGGTTTTCTTTCAGAGGCTTTTGCATCAATCAAAACAGCGGGTGTTGTGTTGACATTCAAAGCTTTCTAAGCTGCTGCTTTTACCAGAAAGCGAGTGAGCCATCAGGGGCTCGGTGTGATGGAACATTTGTGCATTGAAAGCATCACATTTTTGGACATTTTGGCGAGACCATCAATAGATGCTTTTGTGTTAAGAAGACAGAAATACAGGTTGCATATACATGACTCACTGCCATAAATAGCAAACTATAGTAGAAACTTTTCTTAACTAATGAAAGGATTTATGCATGTTAAGTTGAGCAACAGCAAGTTAACATCTGTCTCGGATGTGAGTGCGAACACACAGAGGATGAAAACTGATTTTAAATCATGCATTAGACCTTTTTGCGTCAGAAATTCAAAATTTCTTTTTGTACACGACTGTCCTGCCACGAGAGGAACTTGCCTGCTTCCAATTTACTTACAGTCATGAAAGCAACAATCCTGTGCATCACAGCGGAGCCAGCTATAGAAATGTATTGTACATGCTTTATTGCATTAGGTCATGAGTGAATACATAGATGTATTAGGGAGGTCAAAAGGCTAAGTTACAGCTCCATCTCTGGGTTTGAGTTCTTTTTCAACGCGTCAAAGCCGGCAGGAAATCGCATCAGGAATAGTTTAGGGATGACACTGGAGGGAGAACGAAGGGGAAAACACTGAGCTGTATCGTCTGCATGGCGAGGATTTGGGAATCCCCCGGTTCTCAAGCGAAGGCCAGCTATTTTTAAATCTGGAAACAGGACCCTGTTCTTTGAATCGCAGTGGAGTCACCACCCCTAACGCCGGAGCGGTGGAGACAAAAAAGATGCTTGGAACAAATGAACGGGGCACAATGAGGAATGCTCCGGTGTTGCCTCGGCTGCTGCTGCATTCACAAACAAAACAAGCAAACACATGTAGCCTCAATGCAGAAGCTCAGGCTGGATGTTTCCCGCTGGTTCTCGTGTCTGGATGAGGCTGTTTGTGCAAACTGGTTATTTCGATGTGAAATTGACAAATGCTTCTGCATTTCTAACTCCAGAGGCCAAATTAAACCCAGTAGTTGAGTCACATCTCACAGTTGGCTAGCAGAGACAGTGAACTCAAGACCGATGTCCCGTTTGGAGGAATAATAGACCTTTTCATTGGCGTTCTGTTGCGAGGACAACTGCTTTGGTCCAAGTTTAACTTCCTGTTCGCTGAAGCATTAACAAACACTGCAACAGGAAATACAAAAGGAGCCCATTCAGATGGTTTATGTTCTCGAGGTAAGAGCAGGAAAACTTAGCAGTTAGCTGCAATGATAGAACAGGAGTAGAATGGACAAAAGACAATGGTGATTGTTGTTAGCTGTCATGGTGACAACACATGTAAGTGGGGCCATAAAGTGTGATCGCAGCTGGCTGGGAGGAGAGCGGCCCATTGTTTGGCTCATTGTAAACGGTGTAGCATTAAAGCATGGTGGAATTAGCTTACTAGTCAGCTGTCCACGAGCTACTTAGCTAGCTTGCTAATTCCACCGTGCTTTAATGCTACACCGGTTACTGAAAATGAGCCAAAACAAAGTTGTCAATCATCGTTTTAGTCGTTACCGCAAATCCTCACCTCAGGGAGTCCGCGATTTGCCGTAAGTCTGTTTAGATTATACACAAGTTAGCCCGCTACGACACTCCCAATGACAACGAATGAATTAATCAGTAAAATACACATTAGTTGCAGCCCGTCTGTCTGTTATGTATCTTTGTGTCTGAAGAGATGAAACTATATCAGCTGTGTTTCAGTTGCAATATGTTGCATCTTTTAATCTGCATTAAAATGGGGGTTTTCTGTGTGTGTGTGTGTGTGTGATTGGCATTCCATTCCTCACACTTCACTGGTCCACTTTATTATTGTTTGGGTTCACAGACAGGCTGACTCACCCCTACATGCAACAATACACCCGGTGTGTGTGTCTGTGTGTGTGTGTGTGTGTGTGGTCTGACTCACACAGAAGAAGTTTGAGCTTACTGTGGATGTTTCTTAGGGTGTGTGGTCCGTTTAGCCACCCCCAAAAAGTCAATTTTTTGGTCTTTTCTATCTGTGTTAGTGTGATTTAAGTGTGTTTTTACGTGTGTGATCGTATGCTGTTATCTTTGTGATAACATGAAAACCTCCAGACATAGAACAAATTTGTCAGGTCCACAAAGAAACAGATTTTACTTTGGATCAGGTGTTAGAGTTCGGTGAAGTTACAACACTATGAAGTAGGCTAGATAAGGTAACCAGCCTTATTAGAGCGCCTCAGTTCTTTGACAACGAAATAATTACATTTTGAACGCTTATTGTCAACAAGACTGAACTCTCGTGGATCATTTCTGCACAGTTTTTCAGTGGGAGCCGGTACATTTGCAAGTGATCCAAGCAAAGTCGCTATAGATAAAAGGCGGCGCTGCAGTTGATTCATCTAACAGCCGATCAACAGAAAATTAAACTGCAACTTTTTGCTAATCAAAAACTCGTTTAAGTCACTAAACACAGTAGTTGATTCTTAAATATGAAGATTTTATGCTTTTCTTTGCTGTACAGGATAGTAAACTACACATCTTGGGGTTTTGGACTGTTGGTGCACATAAGACATTTGAAGACTTCATGTTGGGATGATTTATAAACAAAATGATTAATAGACTAATCAATAAAGCAATTAGCAGATTCATTGATAGTCAAAATATACAGTTATTTACAGCTAGATATCCAGCAGACATTTGCCCTCCAAAGGTGGCATTTGTAATCGCACCGTCCCCGGTTCAAAACCTGCATTCTCTCTCGTGTCCACCAGGGGGCGACTCCTCTGGTTGTATAGAAGTCTATGAGAAAATGACTCTACTTCTCTCTTGATTTATTACCTCAGTAAACATTGTAAACATGAGTTTATGGTCTCAATCTCTAGTTTCAAGTCTTCTTCAGTACAGCATGATGTTCATTTAGTACATTATGGTCCATTTAGAGTCAAACAGACCATAAAGCAGGGGATGCTTTAGGGCGGGGCTACACAGTGATTGACAGGTCTCTACCACTTTCACAGTGTGTTTTCACTTCATGAACGTTAACTAACATGTTGGTCGCCTAGAAATGTCTTCCTTCAGTTGTACTTAGCTCCACTCTCTGGTGTCACTTGTGGTTGCTAAAAACCAAGATGGCGACGGCCAAAATGCCAAACTTAAGGCTTCAAAAACAGCAGTCCACAAAAACCAATAGGTGACGTCACAGTGAATACGTCTACTTCCTATATACAGTCTATGGTCACCCTCCGTATTTCATCTTTAACTCTACATGTAACTGTCAAATCAAGACAGAAATCCCCTTTATTTAAGAGTTAAAAGTAGAAAAAAAACAATCCGTGTACGTGTTGATGTCTGCAAACAAATGTTGCTTTGATTCCTCTGTGGGATTTCCCTTTATAAAGATAGCGCCTGACGAAGAGCCGGACAGGAAACACGAGGACAGAGATGAAATGCAACAAATGTCCCTCAGCTAGAATCGATGCATCACTCTCTAACCACCGGGCCTCATATTACTTGAGTTGCCTCACATGACCTCCGCTGCTTTTTCGGTTGCTGCCTACGTGTTTCTTGTGACACAACATCATAAGAAAAGCTCCCTGCTGAACCTAAACGTCTGCACACAGGCAAAGATACCTGCTAGAAAATAGTGTTGGTGGTCATCTCCATCCACGCACACACACAGTCATTTCTCAGTCCTCCCTTCTTGTGTGGCCTCAGCTGTTGTTGCCAAGAAATGTCTGCCGCTACCTCCTATAGCGCAGTATAGAACAGTATAGGCCTGTTGCTGTATATTTAACCCAGCGTTTCACACTGGATCAGGTTTTATTGGTGGAGGTGAAGGTCAGCGTTACTATTAGAGGATCAATGGATGTCATATAGCAAGAGTGGCTACGT